CTGAAGTTGCCATTGTGTTCAACCTCCAGTTCTGTCAGGAGTTCAGTCCTCCAAGACCCAACCACAACAATAGCTTTGATGATGAAATTGTGCGTTTGAAAGTAAAGACCAATTCCCCTTTCAGCTACAGTTACACCATGCTTATAAAAACGTTTTGTTTGGGTACATCAGAGGGGATGAAACCCAGAATTATTGTTTTTAGGAGCTCCAGACAAACCCAAATGAGAAACAAACATCGCCATATCAGCTGCTTTTATGCAACCCCATATCTTTTTTCTGTCTTATTCCCTTCATCTGCTCCCAAGCTCAACATTTTGCTCATCTCTCCTTTGGGTTTGAACACCCGGACCCTCATTAGCACCCAAACTCAGAGGAAGGCTCCAGACAGACGGAGAAATAAGGATAGGGTGAGGATGGTCGGGCGCTTATTGCTTTACTGACGCATATTGCTTGTTTACTTGCTGTCATTCCTTGTTTGTTCTCAACCTCTAATGCATTCAGAGTGATTAAGGACAGACCCAACAGAATATTTTGGTAGGGCTTTTTAGAGGGCCAGAAAACTTTTTTATATATATGAAGTGACCCACTTAAATAGCATGGCACCTCTTGGGAATAAAAGTCAAAGAGACAGTAAGCCACAGATGAAACACGCTGGGCGAGAGCATAAGCGCAGATGTGTTTGATGCATATTCACACCATGCATATCCCATTCATGCTTTTGTATTCATGATCCCCGTTCTCTGCTGATCTGTTATTACAAAAGCATGCCAGCAGCACTCCAGCAGACTTGCTTTACAGGTTTTCCACATCTTTGAGAGGTGAAGTGGAGAAGCCGTGGCGGCATTACAAACATTATATTGATAATTCATTCCCTCTCATTAAAGTTTGATTCGGTTGCTCGTTTTATTTGCTTTTGTACATTCACAGCTCCATAAAATTGGGATGCAAATTGGGGAATTTGGCTGACTGGCATTTCTGGTTGGGTGAAAAATATCAATTCATAAATAAAATGAAATGTTTTTTTTTTTACATAAATCCACTTTGGTGCAGTTTTTCAAAAGGTAGCAAGTTGGTACCAACAAATCTCCGGATGTGAATAATGTATTTCAAAGCATCTGGCCATCCATCCCGCCCTGTGTTTGCGTAAGCCAGTTTCCTTTCAAGTGCTGGAGTGTGTGAGCATGAGGGTGTATTAGGGAGTGAATCTGGAGTCAGCCATGCAGTAGCTGACTACAGTTCTCCCCCAACACACACACACACACACACACAAGTTGGAATACCATGGTTTACAACAGCTTGTATCGCTGGGTACCAAATGCCAGGAAAGTGCTTGGTAGCCATCGCTCAAGCTTCCATGGACATGGATGCACAGAGGGAGGTCGGGGGAGATGACAGCGTGCCAGGAAGCGGGCAAAAAGAGAGAGAGAGAAAGCGAGAAAAAAGGAGAGGGAGCGGGAGAAAGTGCTAAATAGTGTGTGACTTCTGGTAAGCGCTGCCGTTTGATTAGGTTCCACCACCTGTCTGATGTGCTATAGCATGTGCCAGGCATATGCACTGCGGCATGGCTGGTGTCCTCACGATAACAAATGAAGGTGAATTCAATCAGTGAGTCACACTGGCGGTTAAACCGCTCTGTACCGAGAAGAAGAAGGAGGAAGAGGAGGAGGAGGAGGTGAGAATATGTGGTGTGGAGGCCTTTTGAAAGCAAGTGAATTCATCAACTACCAGCATTGGACATGTAACTTAAGACATTTTATATATAACTTATTTTAAAAGTATTGCTCTTCAAATGACTGGTCACCAAAAGTACTTGGCTACATTATTTTACATTGATTATTTAGCCCAGCTCCGTAAAATGTGCCTTTAAAGAAACGTTATTCCACCTGGCATATTCCCACTAAATGTGTCTTTAGTGACACTATGGGTCATAACATTTGTATTCTGTTGCACGTCTATTCAGGGTGTTAAAGTACTGATGCTTGAAGCAGTAAGGACAAAGGGAATACATAACGAAGAATCATTTCAAATTGTATATACAGATTAAACTATCATCAAAAGAGAGGTTGGCTGAAATGTGGTCGACTTGGAAAATGTAAGATTATACGCGGTTTTATTAATGTATTCTTTTTTGTTTATAAAATAAAACCCATTGTACATTTTAGGAAATGTCCTCATGCTAATGCTTATTTGACTTTAGATGTTGTTTAATACGAGTGAATCTAAAATGATGACAATTTAAACCTTAATTACCTTTACTAAATCATTCTAATAAAAATTTGGATGGATTGCAGGAAAGCAGCTCGGCGGTCCGAAATGAAGAACCACAGGAAACTGCTTCTACTGATCTGCATGGAAATACGCCAGGTTGAAATATACCATCGTTTTTCTTTAAATAACTCCAAAGTCTCAACCCAGTCTCACGACATTTCGTGTTATAGTCACAACATTAATTTAATCTATTGATTCGTGTTCACCAACACGATTTCCCCATTTTTTTCGTGTCACACAGAACGATTTTTAAAAGCAATGTATTTCTATTGGTAGTGTGTTTCGTGCCTGCACCACGTCTTTTTGTCCGGTCGGGTTGGAATACCAGAAGCTGTGTGGTTCATAAAAACATTTTCTTACTCAATATCTTACCCTAAGCCTAACCCTATCCCTTTTATTTTAAATTGTATAATGTCAGAGTTTTTTTTTTGGGGCTCAGAGCCTCAGAATACTGAAATCTGTATTTCTTTTAATCAGTTTTTCCTTCTAATTTGTTATTATTTACATTGCTTTTAAAATCGTTCTGTGTTCTGTTCGCAAAAATTGCAAAATCGTTATGGTGAACACGAATCAATAGATTAATTTCGTGACTATAACACGAAATGCCGTGAGACTGTGTTGAAAGTCTCCACCCTCACACCTCACAATGTCTGTATTTAGCAGATAGAATTAAAACAAGGGATTTTGGCTCAACAATTAGCCAACGAATGGTTTGGAGGTATTTACTGGCCAAAAACAGCTAGCTTAGCGTTAGCCATGGTGACTGCATGCGACTCTCCAAGAGTTCACACAATGAAACTACAGGGTTCAAACATCCTAAAATAAACACATTTTACATATGAATGCTACGAAACATGATTTCGGTATTGGAAGCATTCTGGTTTTAGATAGTACGGGAAGTATTGACCAATCATGTTTAAGCTAGCTTTGGTTGCATGCAGGTAAACAGTCCGTGGTGAGAGCGGACGAGGCAGAAAGCAACGGCCAAAATGCAATCATGGAACCATGCGCTGTTGGACGATTGTATTAGCTAAAAAATGTGCTTGTAAACTGGCTAATTATAACAACAATCCATTTGTATTATACTGTAAACAATGACAAGCGTGGTAAACAGGAAGTTTAAGCTACACCACAACCCCAGAAATATCAGAGACTCTGAACACAACTAGCTGAGTCCTAAATGTGGCTAATGCTAGCAAGCCAGCAAAAAAGACTCAACATGTAAATAACATATCCAAAACTAAAGATTTTACCCATTTTCATGCCAAAGGAACTAGATGGTTTTACTATGTTTGATGCATCAAGAGCAGGAATTATATTGCTTTCTGTTTGGGTGCCAACAGTCATTCATTTGTGTATTTTAAAATACTTCATTACCAGGGAGTAAATTGCAGTGCACTGACAAGTGGTTTCAGCCTCTCAGATTACGTTAGCATTGCAGCTGTAAACACATGCATCAAACAGCTGTGTCTAGGAACAGCCAGACTGGCAAAAAGGTTCTCCTGTAACGCATCACTGATTTTTTCTTCCTATATCCAGAAATGTTAATTATTGGTGTTTGATTATGGAATCATGTCTCTGGAAACCAATGGTTCTGTCAGCTAATTACAGTTAAGTGTGATGATCTATATTCAGACACCATAATTCCCCTTCCTGGTACAACTATATATCCGATACGCAGCATTACCTGACACAAACCCATCCTAATTTGTGAAATCTATAGCCATGCAGAGAGGAGTAGAGAACGCAATTACTTCGTAAAGACTTTCCGAGATACATGGACTCTTTTTCTAGTCGTCGTGACACAAAACCCGTTTTTTTCTTCAGCGGTAAATATCCACCAAGAGACGGTGACTGAAATGAGCAGCTCTACAAAACCCTACAAATACCAACAAGAGAGCTCGCTTATTCACTTCTCCCTAGTTTCTGAGGATCAGCGTTCGGAGTGTGTGTCTTTTTGTGTCAGTGGGGGGTGCCTATGGTCTCTGACACCGCTGGGAACCGTCTGTAGTTTTTGACAAATGTGTAGTGTACGCAGTTCACATATTTCTCATCTCATTTGCCCCTGGAATGAGATGAATAACCAGCCCCGCTCCACCCCCCCTCGCTGGTATGAATTGCTAGGCTGATATCTCACTCTCTGGAGGTGCTGGAGGGCAATGGGAGCTGACAACACAATGGCATTGTTTCTGCTGATGGGGAGCCAAAGTCTTCGGGGAAACACTCCCCCCAACCAGCCTCTCTGACAGTCTCCCAAAAGAAAGTAGATAGAGCGTGTCTGTGGGCTACTTTGTGGGGTAAATAGTGTCTGTGTGTGGGATTTGAGCATTTGTGCGTTGGTGTGGTGGTGCAGTATCAGAGAGGTTTCGAGGGGGTTGAGGGCAGAAGACGGGGAGAGAGCTGTGCCAACACACTGAGAGGCCACTCAATTATTTAGCGGAGCGGCCGGGTTCAAAGAGTCACAGCCAGCACCTGCTGATCCGCCACCTTCACAGCGTATCTGCTGCTGCTTTGATCCAGTGGTCTTAATAGTACACAAATATCACTCACATTATTATTATTGTCGTCAACAATGAGGACGAAAATGTAAAAAAAATTATACACGATATTTGCTTTCTCCCCTTTCTCGCCATTACGGCTGTGGATATAAAAGATATCTGAGCATTTCCTTGAAGTTGCTTACAACTCCACTTGGTTTCCTCTTCTGTCCGTTAACCCATTCGTCCCCATGTTCAGACAGTGACCTCTGTCTTGCTGTTGGTGGGCAGTCCCTTGTGCTTGGGATGCACGTGCGGCGAGTGGCCGTAGCTCAGCGGCTGCGAGAAGAGCTCGGGCAGCGTCTCGATGCTGAACTGCCTCTTGTTGGAGTACGCCAGGCGCCGGCTGTTCTGCTGCTGCAGCGACTGGTGCTGGTGCTGCTGCAGCGCGTGGTGTTGCTGCTGCAGAGAGTGATGCTGTTGCTGCAGCGACTGATGATGCTGCTGCTGCTGCTGCTGCTGCTGCTGCTGCTGCTGCTGTTGCTGATGCTGCTGCTGCTGCTGATGCTGCTGCTGCTGATGCTGCTGCTGTTGCTGCTGCTGATGCTGCTGCTGTTGCTGCTGCTGATGCTGCTGCTGCTGCTGGATGGGGTGGTGCTGGGGCCCCTGGAGGCCGATGTGCGAGGCCACAGGGTGCTGCATGTGGCTCTTACTGGGGTCCCATGCTTTGAAGGCCGAGCTGGAGGTGAGCGGGTGGGTGTTGGTCTTGGAGATCTTAGGCTTGGGGATCTGGGAGGCGTTGATGGTGATGGCCAGCGGCGCGTGGATGTCGGGCGGCGGGAGGAAGGGCTTGTCCTTGGGGTGGAAGTTGATTGGCTGGAATGTGGGAGGGGACTGGCGGTGGGTGTAGTCCACCATTGGGTAGCTCTTGTAGTAGTCTCTCGAGGCTGTGTCTGCATGAAAGAGTGAGAGAGTGGGGGAAGGGAAACAAAGTCAGAGACAAGGTTAAATCATCATAATGAAAAGTGAAGACAGTTTTTCTTAAAAGCAATCAGTGAACGCCACCATAACCTTCCTATATGTTTTCTTATTTATACAACCTGTTCATGCAACCGACTAGGCGTCAAATTCTGACGCTCCACATACCTTTCTAGAGTTACTTTTGGATGTACAGGGCTGACTCTAGGGGCCGTAGTAAGAAAGCCTAAGTGAAGGACGAACTGACGGTTTCCGTAGAGGTGAAGGAGGCCGGCTTGGATGGATGGGTTCAAAACATTTGCACTCAACGTAATGTAATGAACTTACAATAACTAAGTTAACTTACCCTTACATTAACCCAAACCCTAACCATTATCTTTCCCTAAGCTTAACCCAGGTATCATACATAACTTTCGTCACGTACATATTTGTATCCATGTGTTTCCCTGGACTTTGAAATATTACACTAAAAAAGCAACTGCTAGTTGTCCTGACCATAAATCCATTGGTGATGAGTTGAGACTGAGAACATGTCGTTTATATAAATCAACTTCTGAAAAAAGTTGTTTTATTGCCTAAATGGTAATGCGACATAGGCAGGGGTGCACATAACTGGTACGCAGGTACGCATGCGCGGCAACAATCTGAAATGCGTACTGTCACTTGTGTCACAAAGCGCATTTGCGTACCGACGTACTAGTGAAGCTTTTCCAGAAGGCGGTTAGTTCATCGGTCTCCGTGTGCACAGACAGGGCTGCTGATAACGTCGGTCTGTACAGCAGCACTGCGCTAAAACAGCTGATCACAACGTTCACACGCTCTATGGTCACGAAGCTCTGTACTCCACTACCATCCCCCCCCCCCCCCCCCGTTGACATTCGCGAAGCACTGTACTCCACTACCACCACCCCGTTGACATTCGCGAAGCTCTGTACTCCACTACCACCCCAACCCCCCCCCGTTGACATTCGCGAAGCTCTGTACTCCACTACCACCCGCCACCCCCCCCCCCCCTTGACATTCGCGATACAGAGGGCTTCATGGGAACTTGGAGGGGAGCCAGAAGTTGGAGTACCAAACACTGACTCCAGGTACTCATCTCAGTACCTCACTGAGAAAGTTGTGTGCACCCCTGGACATAGGTAACTTGCATTGAATATGTAACCTTAACAAATTGTTGCCATGCTCTCTGAGAAATTACGCTTAAAAAGCACCTAACGCATGGAAAAGGGGTTCATATCATTACACGTCATTTGTTAGACTCTTTTATCAGTACTGTGGACAATCCCCCCAGGAGCAATTTGGGGTGAAGTGTCTTGCCCAGGGACACAACGACATGCTGACTGCAGTGGGACTCGAACTTGCTACCCCCTGATTCAAAGTCCAGCACTCTATCCACTGAGCCACAGCCGCCCTATCCCACTATGGATATCAAGCATCCATAGTTGATAAGTTGCGATTGAGAACGGGTTGTTTTTATAAATCAACTTCTTTGTGTGTATATGTGGCATTAACACCGATATGAAACATTCTGACCCTGAGCATAATGAAACAGCTGCTTTGTTTTTGAGCTTTGAACTGTCGACGCACTGACCGTGGAGTTAAATATAACAACAGCACCAGAGAGAAACAAATAGAGAGTGAGAATCAGAGGAGTCGGGCGAAAACAGAGATCTGTTGGGAGTAAAAATAGAGTTGGTTCATCGTGTCGAGTCACATTAGTGTGAGCCCCCTGAGTGCAACTCAACTGCTGTTTGGTCATCACCACTGACCCCCCCCCCCCCCTACACACACTCTGCCCTAAAGACACCAACAACCTTGTTTGCTTAGCCCAGTTTTATTGGTCCTTTTTTCCTGGAGAGAAACAAGAAACATTTATATTTTGTGGTATATTTATGTCATTCCTTGCTATTTTTTGTTCTGAATTCTTATCTCAGACTGGGTTTATCTTTCATATCTTAAACAACTGCCTTCCTCATAACTTACAATGATATGCTATCAGCTTCACGATTAATTAAATCTGTTTGTGTGCCTGTGCAGCAACATATTAAGGTTATTTCAATAGTCTGGTCAGAAGAAGCAGGACCAGTTGATTGTAATTTGTTGTAATGAACGTCTATGAATGAGGCCTCGGTGTTAATGAATGCTCGAGTGTTCACTGTGCTCAGGAATTTCAAGTAGACAAAAATGTCTATCTGAAAGAATATTTGGGGTACCGTACAGTGTTGTAGTCAAGTCACCAATTCACGAGTCCAAGTCACTCTCGAGTCACCACTCTTCGAGTCCGAGTCCAAGTCCGAGTCACCAAGGGAGAGTCGTAGTCGAGTCCGAGTCCAAGTCCGAGTCACCCAAGGAGTGTCCGAGTCGAGTCCGAGTCATCATTACCTGTGTTCGAGTCTGAGTCCAAGTCCGAGTCACCCAAGAAGAGTCCAAGTCAAGTCCGAGTCACAAGTCTTCATGTATTAATATATGTGTTGAAATGTAGCTGCTCCTCTACATTGCTTTTATCCTGTCATGTTATACTAATCTGTCTATTGAACTGCTGTGAAGCGAGTTTGGCTACAATTCTTGTAATAGGTGCTATACAAATATAAAGCTTATTACTAATATTAATAATATTATTATTATTGTAAATGACCCATAATATGTCTAACTATATTTAAAATTAGTTACCTTTTAGAGAAGTGATTATATTTGTAATCCAATATTTTCCTATGGTAACGTTTTCGTTTTGCACTTTTATTTTGAAAGTAATAAGATCGGGACTCTTATTTTGAAGGAACTTTTACCGGTTAAATCGGTTTACCGATAAAGATTGAGCCCCAGAAAGCACATGGCTACTTAGCATGCAAAATGAAGTCATTCTGCATGTTAAGTAGCCATGTGCTTTCGTGTTATCGGCTGAATCTTTATGTATTGATTAGATCACGTTACTCTGATGATAGTGTTCAAGACAGCCTATATGTCTGAACTCGATCCTTAGAGTAATGTGTTATGGAGCCTTCTCTTCTCTTCAATATTGTTTCCACATAGAGCATTTTGCGCTGCTCTTTTCCAATGTGGAAGCAGAATGTGTGAAAGCATACAGCACGATGCGGGGTGTGTCTCTAGACATCTTTAGACTGGAATAGCGGGGCCCAGTACATGAACTCGCCTCGCAGGTGCACACGCCAGGATAGAGGACATCAGACTCCAGAGAAAACTTGCTCGAGTCCAAGTCGGAGCGTCAATGTACGAGTCCGAGTCCGAGTCATCGTGGGGGGGGAACATTCACGAGTCCGAGTCCAAGTCATTGTAAGCGAGAATTCACGAGTCCGAGTCCGAGTCCAAGTCATCGTGCGCGAGAATTGACGAGTCCAAGTCCGAGTCGCGTCAATCAATGCGCGAGTCCGAGTCGAGTCACGAAAATCGGCACTCGAGTCCAGGACTCGAGTACTCCATCTCTGGTACCGTATATTCGGTCCACTGGACTGCTTGAGTTTTGTGATGCAGTTTCAGGAAAATACAGCGTTGCATGTAGAGTTTTTGGACATTATTCAAATGTACACGTTAAACAACAATCATCCATTGGCTGACTGTAGAGTGTTGGCTTAATTTACTGTATTTGTTAGCTGAAGCCAATTGTTTCCCTCTGTATCCATTGCTGTCGATTAATTTCCTAATCATGTTTTCCAGCCAAGACAGGGTATATGCAGGAATCCTGAAGTCAAATGTAAGACCTTTTAAGACCTTTTTTAAGACCCTTTCCATACATTTTAAGACCTCATCGCCACTTGGAGTTTTAACCGGTTACATTGGCGACACACTTTACCTCACATTTACTATATACAGTATTGATTGTCCTTCCTCCTTATCTTCCAACCATTTGGACGCAAACTTGCATTTCCCCATAACGATGTTGTTTAACAACCGGCGTAAACGGGCCTTCGCGCGCTATCAAGCAGTGAGCGTGCGATGTCCCGTTCAGATGACGTCACATCCAACGGGATGCCATAAATAAACTACACAGAATCACACTGCACACCTACGCAATGATTACATTCAGGCACACTGTAGAATACAACCTCTTTGGACAATTTATATACTTTTAATACTTTTTAATAGCCTTAATTTTCGCTAAATTGGTTTATCAACTTTTAATACTTTTTAAGACCCTGCGGACACCCTGCAAGATGACTGGAGACGTTTGTTTTCGTATTTCCGGGAAACACCTTGAGGAGTACTCTCACTTTCACACGTCTCAACAAACTGTCCAGTGCTATCACAGTCCGGTAATTGCTTATTGAACACTTCATATGTGGGTCCATTGTGTTCCTCCAGGGCTCTTCAACAGCAGCTGTCGAGGAAGGAGACGGAGCCACCGCTAATCATTCAGGGAAATTCTCCAAGCTGCTCCCAAGATTTAAATACAGTTCTGCTTTTCTCATCGTACCATCGAAAAAGTGACGCTATAACCGTTATAAGTGTTGTTTATCTCAAAAGGCCAGCTGGATATCGTACATTATTGCATGGCAAAGCAGCCCATAAACCTGAACCTACAACATTAAGTAATTGGGTTAAATGAAAATAATTGGTTTATTGATAAAAGATGATAAGAGCTATTTCCACTGTCAGGACCAACGCATCCATTCTTCTGGACAAGGTAAAGGACCTAAAGTATTATCGTCCTATGAATTTACAAAGCACCAAATCCGGAGTTTTTAACAGCCAGCCATTGGCTCAATCGCCATTGTTTTACCTAATTCGGTGATACAGTATAAGTATTACTTTATTTGCAACTAAAATCTAAATTTGTATTACCTCGAGTGATGTCTTATTTTGCTGCAGCGATGGAGAAGCCCCGGTCTTAGTAACATATCCAACTAAACCCATGAGTGAGATGGTTAGTTGAAACAAACTTTAAACATTCAACCAGAGAGCTCTGAGGTAAGCTGATACGACTCAAACTGAGAAGCCCTTCAGACAGGAAGTCCTG